TTTTTTTAACATATTCCATGTGGTTTTGTATTATAATATGTATTTATATTTAATTCTATTTATATTTCTTTGCTGTAAGTGCTGGATGAAATGTGTTCTATAATGCAGTGCATTGACAATGTAACACCCATATTATACGTTAACGTTTCTGTAGTGGTGACAGAACGTTAAACAAATATTCACACCAGTTTAAAAAGCTCCCTGTGCTCTCCAGGGAAACTATATCACCAAACTCCCTTTAAGAAATATCACATTTTAACAATTCCTAATGTGTCTGTACAAACACAAAACAACAGAAACACAAGATAAAGTGCGTCATATGTTGACAGTCTTCTTGTCAATTTGGCATTAATATAATCTATATAGATAAACTGTGTTCTGGACAAAGTTTATATTTTGCTGCTTCAACTCACTCAGCCTTCATTAGTTAGCTCCACTTAGTGGGAAAGACCGTGGGAATGAGAGGCAAACACTTTCAAATATTAAGATTTCTCACTAAAATAAGTGCTGATTGGTGGATAAGATAAATGGCCTATTAAATGTTGACTCATAACACTGTTTATCCACCATCTATTATTTGTGTCTTTTGGTCCATGGCTATTCCTGATTAAGCCCTCATTGTGCAAGCATTGTATAAGGGGAAGTCATTCAGAATATTTATATATAATCATTTAATTTAATTTGAGATTTATAGATTACACTTGCTTAACTTACAAATGGGCTTCTGAGAACCTTCGTAAAGGTGGCTCGTGTTCTTATTCAGATGTAAGACCAACATGAATTTGTAGATTCCTATGGTGCACTTCTCCTATAGAATCAATACAATATTTTAGAGACTGTTTAATATATATATCAAGTTAATTCTCATTGATTTTATTGCAGTTTATATGAACACCTTACAGTGTGTGTGTGACTGTTCTCCAGCTGTTCCCTCTTGGATGTGTCAAACACAGGTGGTAACACACTCAGCTAACTGTATTATAGCTGCTGATTTACGTATTTACAGAAATGGTAAGCTATAGCATACTGGATGTACAGACGTGTGTACACCCACACACACAAAGGTTTAAAAATAACTCTGAATACAACTTAAAAGGAAGGAATATGCTTTTATATTCAATGCCCTATTCAGAGCGCTTATTGGAGTATATAATGTAGCTGTGTGTGTGAGTAGATGATGACAGGGCTCGAGATGGAGCCGACACACAAATACATACACACACACACACACACACTTCAAAACAGTACACCAATATGCCCCTGACTTTCAGTTCCTTAATACAAATGCAATTTCATCACACAACACACATCTTCGCTCTTTACACGCTACCAGAGCAGAAAATGAGTCCGCTGCAGGTAATCCAATGGACTCCAAAGGGCACACACAAACACACACACACACACATACACACATACAGACACACACATA